TTTCCGAAGGCTCAAAATGGCGGTAAAAAGGAGTGACTTCATTGTGCGTCTTTACAGCCAGATTTCGAGCGCAAAAATAAACATGTCATTCTAATAACTAGGAATTAATACAGCCAGAAGATTCAAGAAATTGTATTGTACAAGAACATGAACTAAAGGTGATTGTTGACAAATTTATCGTCTGAAACATTTTGTTTATCAACTAAGCAACGACAATTTCCGAATTTTCGTTTGAGATATATTTCTTTAAAAAAAACTGTGTCGCCAAATATAAAAAATTTTCGTGTTTACAATAATTAAACTTTAGGATTTATTCTACAATTTGAGTGGGTTAAGAAGCTTAACTTTTCGAGAGTTTTCTTAACTTTTGAGTTTGAACTTTTGTTTTGAATAATTTTGCAAATATTTTCGAAGTCGTGTCCGTTAAAATCAACAATTTTTTACATGAATTATATTTCATTCCATACTTTAAATGACAGGACGCTTTCAATTAATGTCTAGTCTACCCATTTGCTATATTTTCTCGTTTGCTTTACTAATTTTTGACCAATTAATAAGCATGTTTTTGTTTTAGAAATTGATATTCAAATTCCCCGCCATATTTTCATAATTTGGTGCATGCGCAGACATTTTTCCGCGGTGTTAATAAAAGGTACAATCTGGCCAGTTCTAGTGCTCACAATCATTATCAATTATGTATAATATAATTTTCCGCTTAAACGGTTTGAAGTAAAATGCCGAAAATATTAGATAACACCATTTTACAAATGAGAGCTTTTTAGTTTACATTTACAAATCATCAAGACATTTATGTTATGTTTATAGTAACCACCGTCATTCTTAATTTCATGGCAGATCTCGTAGATATTAAACTGAATCCAGTTGCAGAGGTAGATGCGATACATTATTACACAGATAAAATATCATAGAAACCTTATAAAAAGATGTTTTCGACCCAGTCATTTAGCATCAATTCATGAGCCGTCACGGTTGGTTAGGTATTTAACAGAGGTCGTGTTTAACCTTTGTGTTTAACTGTACGGTTCTGCGAAAGAGAGTAAACTGTTGCTAATTTCTCATCCGAGTTCATCCAAATCTAACCAGAATTTAACCAATTTGTCCTTGGGCAATGTCCATTTGTCCCACAAAATGTTGTATTAATACGTTTGATATTGTATAAGTTATCTTGCTGAAAAACACACTCAATGGCTTTTTAATACGTATAATATATACACACGAAAAAGTTTTAAATCTTTCTAAATTTTATACAAGTACTAATTACCTCAATAAATACACTTTAATTCATACATAAAACTAAATGTTGCCCTTCTATTCATTTAACTATTTCATAAGAAACTTTTAAACGGATTTAAACTTTTCTGTGCGAGTACGCACGCAAGAAAATCGCTCTAGTTTCCTACAGGAAGGGTGGATTGGCGTATTCTCTATGGAATACAACCCAATTGAACAAAGTTTCTTTATTTCCGTTTATATTTTTGAACGTCATGCACAACATACCCACTTAGGTCACAGAAAGGACATACTTTTTAGATATTACATCATATACACAATATATTCATGATACTTGGGAATTTCGCAGTAGGTTATGATTAGGCCTATATTCAAATTCAATGCAAATTTTCAAACATTGTAAGAATGTCATAAGAATATTAACTTTTTATATCTCAGATGAAAGAAATGTAACCAGTCGGTATATCAGACAAAGTATAATCTTATGTTTGAAACACAAGAAATGTTTGGTTATCCAAACCTATTTTAAGCAAAGAAACTTCGATATTGTAAACGTAAATGAAATCCCGCCTACTCAATACATCACAACGTCAACTTGATCAAGCGCACGGAAAGAGTACAAAGGCGAGCAACCAAGTACATTCTGGATCTTCCTTTCTTCTGTGAGGTCAGTTACAACCAGAGACTTGATATGCTAGATATGATTCCTGTATGTTACTGGCACGAATTTCTTGATATGATTTTCTTCTTCAAATGCACTCATGAGATAGTCATTAACAACGACCTACTACCAACAATCCAGAATAGAGAAAGAGCTACAAGATCTGCTGATCCGAACTGTTTGATGTTTACAACAACAAAAAAGCAAGACCACAACATACCAGAAGTCATTCCTGACGAGATCAACGAGAGTGTGGAACATTTTACCAAAAGACTTGACAGATAAAAACACTACATTTACCGGATTTAAAAGCGGCCTTCTCAAACACTATAAATCTGCCTTACGAAATGTTTATAACGCAGAGGATCCTCGAACTTGGAAATCTATATGTTTGTCTTGTAATACGTCTCGTAACCTGTCTTGTCCCATATCGTGCTGTTGTTAGTTTTTTGGGGAAGAAGCAGAATTCTCTGTCAGTCTGTGAGCTGTGTTTAAAACCAGCTTGAATATTAAACAACAATTAAAATATAAATATTCTGCATGGTACGAATTTAGTAAGCTTGATATACAGAAATTTTTGTATAAAGAGAAATTGGTGGGGTATTCTGCTTTTAACTCCCGATATTTTAAAGTTTGTTTGTCTTGTGTTGTGTAAAGGGTCGCTGTAATTGGCGGAAGCTGTAGCGTATACCCAGCCATGTCAATGTATGTATCGTTTATGTTAATGTATGTATAGCAAGTGATTTTAAGTTGATTTGGCAAAGCCTAATAAATAAATATTGGTTGCACAACAATGGTAGTTTCTGTCAAGTGACAGGAAGAACACACTATTCTGTAGATATTTACATCATACAAACTATATAGTCATAACACTTGGAAATTTCACAGTAGGTTGATTATATTTCGTGAGTGAATGTGCTTGGGCATATTGTCTATTTAGTGTAAATTCAGGATCGCTTTGTTGTTTGAGTATAAGAGTTCAGTATGGCGTCAATTGTCACAAAAATTCTAAGCTCAACAGTGGGTTTACTCGTGAATAAAGCTCGCGACTCGGCTGCGGATAAACTGAAAGACGGCGATGTTACGGACGCAAAGATTCGCGAGCTCGTCGTAAGAGAGTTAAACGACGTCAAGACGAAACTCGATGGTCTGTCACGTAAAGATTTGCTCAGCAGCTACAGTTTTCTGAAGCATGCAAGGTATCGATTTGTTGAATGTTTCTCTTAATAAGTCCACGGACGAACAGAAAGGTGTAGATAAACCTACCGACGAGCAAGCCTCATCAACAATGTCGAGCAGTGTTCAGTCTGGGATCTTAAACGAAGCCTTGGCACTTTCTCAAGCGATGGAAAAGTTAAAGATTGTATCAGACGAGCAGTTTGAGTGTGCTAAAGAACGATTTAAAGATGCACGTAGAAGAGCAACCGACTCTTTCTCTAACCAAGCTTTGAGCATCGAAGACAGACTGATGGCGGCGAAACTACACATTGTTGCGACGATTTTGGAATGCCTCGAATCACCAGAAACAGCGATCATAGCGTGTCTGTCGTTTCTTAAGGAATTGCACGGTCTTGAGGCAATTGTCGGGATATTCTCCGTGTATCTCAATCGTGGGTTCATCATGTCGAGATTGAATAAAGCACAGCGAGTAGAATGCGTCAAGTCTGTTATGTTAGTCAATTATACTTTATTCCAATTTGTTTTCAAATTCAGCAGCAGTAAGTCTTCTTCCGCATACGCCTGGCCAACGATTGAACTTGCTGAACGTAGTTTTAACCCAATATTGCACTGGCAAGAGGTTTCGACAAGAAAGTCTATGGGCGACGAACTGACCCAATTCGCCAACCGACTGATACTTGATGAAGATATAACTCCTGGTTGTTCTGCTGTAAACAGCCATGGGGACGTTGTTGTTGGAAGACATGCTGACACCATCAAGATTATATCGAAGACAGGTGAAAGCAAGGTGGTTAAATTACCTGAACTCAGTGCAGGTAAAGTTATCAGCCAACATTTTGCATCACTTGCTGTTGATAAGAATAACAAAGTTTACGTGGTGAGATGGCTTCAAACACGTACGGAAAATTACATGTTAGATGTACTGGACGATAACTACAATGTAGAGCGGGACTCGCGCAGATTGGAATATCTCAAGGCAACAAAATATTACGCTGTGAGGATCGCTATAACCAAGAACAATAATATCGTTGTGATCCAAGACGGTAATCCCCAGGTGTATATCTGTGACAATACCGGGAAATTAAAGAACAAGTTTGAACGAGGATCACATTATATACGCGCCTTAGGTATTTGCGGGCAGAATGAAATCATGATACCATCAGACAATTTCCAGGCTGTGGTGATATACTCCGAGAAAGAAAATCTGAAGTCAACAGTAAAACTACCAGAAGATCACGAAGTCTATGGGTTGGCATTTAATTATGTCATTTGTAAAATAATTGTCTTAACCTATGTCGAGAAAAAAGATTCCTATTTCTTACTGTGCTATACTGAAGCAGGTGAACTGGAGACCACAACGTTATTTTCTAAGAAAATTGGCTATGAATATATGCCCGAAATTAAGTCTCATCCAAGTGGTCCTGTTGCTATTGTAAGGGAGAAAAGCATCACTTTCTTGTGAAGGATGAACTTTTCATATATTTGAACAGTATATACAAAAACTTTCTATAAAAGCCAGCCTGGCGAACTTAAATAATAGTCTTAAATAGCGCATGTCAACTATAGTATAAGTGGTATAATTGTAGCTTTGGCAAATTTGCTGAACGTTTGCTGACGTAAACTTTAAGTTTTTGATTAAATTAACAAATGTCAACTTTTTGACACGTTATTTTTTCCATGATTCTGATTGAAAATAATTTTGTAAGAACATTTTTTAGTGATTTAGGAATGAACATCTAATCAGGATTTTGTTATTTTGAACAATCATATATTATCGAAATATAAGATGGAGTAATACGAGCAACAAAATTACTGAAATTTGCATGGATGATGGATCAATAAAGTAGCATTATCATTATTATTGTTATTATTATTAAGGCGAGATTTAGGTTGAGCTAGTTTGAGATTGTATTTAGCAAGTATCTATAAGTTTGCAGGATTTCGTATCAGATATACAAGCTCCTTCATATGGTAATGAATTTAGTTGTGTTTCCCATGAATTATCAAATGAATGAAAATTACAATTATACTAAAGCCAGTAAAGGTCACTCCAAGACTGCATGCCATGGGTAGGGGAGGGGGGCAGGATTACACATAGTAATATTTTGAAAGCTCTCTGCCGGTAATATTTTATTGAATTCTTCATGACTTACTTAAAATATCTTCAGTTTTCCCAGCTTCTTCTAACCGCAAGAGATGAGTAATTTGATCCGACTCGTCAACGACGTCCAGTTCTTCGACCACCGAGGGATGATCCTGAACAACGATTTATTAAACATATCATCAGTCTCTGGGTGTAAAAACTGGTGGCAAAGCTCAGGGTCACCGAGAAGGGGGAGGGGGGCAAATTGCCCCACCTTAATAGGGCCCCAACTTGAGAGAGAGCCTAAAATTGAATAGGTTCTTTAAATTGGTCAGAGCATTTTTAAAACCAAGGGCCCCTTGCAGTCTAAGGGCGCTTTCCATTTAATGGCCTGACCGGTCAGACCCGAATTCTTGTCTCTCGGTATCAATGAAAAGATCTGGTCGATGTTTCGCAAATATCTAGCGAAAATGGACCTCATTCTAATTTTATCACAATTTTCAGGTCAGATAGGTCCAAAGCCCAAACGTTTTATGTTTCATTCAACAATTTGACCGTTCTGACCGGAAAGCGCCCTAGTTAAGGTCTAGGTGGGTGACTGACTTGGGTCGTTGTTAATATTAACTATGCTTGTAGCCTGAACACAGACCTACGTTTCGCCCGCCCTAGCCCTTTCCGTCGACTCGCGAATTTTAGGGTGGGCGAAACGTAGGTCTGTTTTCAGGCTACTATGCTTGGGTCTAGCTTTATAGGCATGGTTTGCTTCATGCTAGGTTTATTAGCATAGCCTCGCCACTGGTAAAAACTAGATGAACTACAGGCCACTCGCAGACTGCGCACAGCCATTTGCAATTGACCGTGAGGCGTGCATATACGTCGACCTTTAAGGTCGATTTACTGCACTACACAACTTTTGCCTAAAACTGTCGCATGCAACTTGCTTACAACTTGAGTTGTACGGTGTAAATCAAGCACACAACACCTACGACGTACAAAGTGGGTGAGTTGTGTGCATGATTTCCACAGTACAACTCAAGTTGTAAGCAAGTTGCATGCGATAGTTTTAGGCAAAAGTTGTGTAGTGTAAATCGACCATTAGAAATCTCCCTCTTGTTGTAAACACCAAAAGTTCATTAGGCCTACCGCTTGGAACACCGCGGAAAAACGTCTGCACATGCGTCAACCTTACCTGTAATAGCATTGCGAACTTGATGAGAAGCTGTTCCGAACGTTTCCGAAGGCTCAAAATGGCGATAAAAAGGAGTGACTTCATTGTGCGTCTTTACAGCCAGATTTCAAGCGCAAAAATAAACATGTCATTTTAAAAACTAGAAATAAATACAGCCAGAAGGTTCAAGAAATTGTATTGTACAAGAACATGAACTAAAGGTGATTGTTGACAAATTTATCGTCTGAAACATTTTGTTTATCAACTAAGCAATGACAATTTCCGAATTTTCGTTTGAGATACATTTCTTTAAAAAAAACTGTGTCGCCAAATATAAAAAATTTTCGTGTTCACATTAATTAAACTTTAGGATTTATTCTACAATTTGAGTGGGTTAAGAAGCTTAACTTTTCGAGAGTTTTCTTAACTTTTTAGTTTGAATTTTTGTTTTGAATAATTTTGCAAAAATTTTCGAAGTCGTGTCCGTTAAAATCAACATTTTTTTACATGAATTATATTTCATTCCATACTTTAAATGTTAGGACGCTTTCAATTAATGTCTAGTCTACCCATTTGCTATATTTTCTCGTTTGTTTTACTAATTTTTGACCAATTAATAATAAGCATGTTTTTGTTTTAGAAATTGATATTCAAATTCCCCGCCATATTTTCATAATTTGGTGCATGCGCAGACGTTTTTCCGCGGTGTTACAATGCATTACGAGCAATCGAGCATACAGGTATCAAAACTATTATTAGAAATTAGTTCCGTCAGTTGGATTAAAAATGGTTCGACTGACTACAGAACAAAGAGTTTTTACTGTTTTACACGCTGCGTTAAATTAAACAGCACATAATCATATTCATATGTTGAACGATAGATATACCAGATACAATAACATATAGAAAACACAAGTTGTGAAATCTCACTTTAAATTTATCTTTTCTGATTGCAAACATAACTTCCACCATGTACTGAACTCTTTTCTCAATGTCTGAGTTATGTAAGATACTTCGCAGACGTTCAAATACAGCTGAAATACAATGTCAATTATGTACACTAACTTTAACATTTTTATACTTGATATTTCTATCAGTTCTAAAACTGTTCGCCCTATAGAGGTCCAGTAAGGATCATCTCTTATTGATCCAGTGTTACTACAGGAGGAAACATAAACTAAACTAACTTTATTTATACTGGATAGCTCTATCAGTTCTAAACTGTTCTTCCTAGAGGTCCAGTAAGGATCATCTCTTATTGATCCAGTGTTACTACAGGAGGAAACCTAAACTAAACTAACTTTATTTATACTGGATAGCTCTATCAGTTCTAAACTGTTCTTCCTATAGAGGTCCAGTAAGGATCATCTCTTATTGATCCAGTGTTACTACAGGAGGAAACCTAAACTAAACTAACTTTATTTATACTGGATAGCTCTATCAGTTCTAAACTGTTCTTCCTAGAGGTCCAGTAACGATCATCTCTTATTGATCCAATGTTACTACAGGAGGAAACCTAAACTAAACTAACTTTATTTATACTGGATAACTCTATCGGTTCTAAACTGTTTTCCCTAGAGGTCCAGCAAGGGT